CTGAGGAGCATGAAGAAATTTTATTTTACAAACTACATATATCAAGATCTCCAAGGAGAAGTGGAGAAGAATCCTTCTTCTGTTGTAAGAGGCAACTAAAATATGTATCAGGAGCAAGGTGCTAGTAACCGTTTCTCCTGTATAAATTACTAAATGTAAAAAAAGAAGTTTTCATTGTATCTTTTTTGGGGGTCACCCAGCCTCAGTGGGAGACAGTCGAAGTGTTATAAAAACAAATATATATATACATATATGTATATATATCAGGAATTACTATGCTACATATTCATTCATTTATCCATATTTAATATAGCAAATCTAATATTAAAATCATTTGATGGTATCTAATAAAATATGTATATCTTATAATGCACATTAATGGAAGTTCACAATTGTGAATTTACCTCTCAATTAATTTTATTTTATTTACTGCTGCCTGTTGTTCATTAGATGGACTCAGAAACCTGTTACCTATGATTGCAATTTTACAGTCATCAGTTAGTTGAGAAGAGTTTTATCAAGTATATAGGAAAAAGCAAATACACTGCCTCATAAGGCATGATGACACCCTGAGGTCAGATTCAGAGAAAGAGAGGTCAAAGGTGAAGTTCAGTATAAATGAGATCAGGTAATGGTAGGAGTATGAGGTAGAGCCAAGGTAACAGGACAAGGGCTATTATGTTCACTGCATGAATAGCAGATGATGTGGGTAATAGCTAACATATAACTCTATGACTAAAATACTTCCTAACATCCTTGTGACTCATCTGAGTCTTCAATTTCCAGTTGTGATCCCTTGTTGCTGTGTCTGATTTCTGAAACATCCTGTCCCTACCCACCTTGTCAAATCCTCTCAACATTTTATATGTTTTCGTCATGTCCCTCCTGTCCTCCAGTGTCATTAGGTCGATTTCCCTTAATCTCTTCCCTTAGCTCCGGTACTAGTCTTGATTCAAACCCTGGCACTTTCTCTAATTTCTTTATATGCTTGACCAGGTGTGGGTTCCAAATAAGGGCCTGACATCCAGAGTGTACAGAGTCTGTGTCTGTAGTGTGTGTGTTTGTGTAGTATGTGTATATATGAATGGATGTATGTGTCTACATTTCTGTATCTCTCTCACACAATCACACACGCACACACACAAACACACTGGTAGCAACCAGTGAAGAGGCACGGCCAGGAGCTGTGACTCAACCCCTGCAACCACAACTACGTGAGCAACTAGGCGAGTACACACATTTTCTTGGACTGCAAGAAGGCCTTCGACACAGTTCCTCACAATAATTAGTGCAAAAACTAGAGGATCAGGCATGCATAAGAGGAAAGGCACTGCACTGGATCAAAGAATACCTGACAGGGAGGCAACAACGAGTCATGGTACGTGACAAGGTGTCAGAGTGGGTGCCTGTAAAGAGCAGGGTTCCACAGGGGTCAGTTCTAGGACCGGTACTATTTCTGGTATTTGTGAATGACATGATGGAAGGAATATACTCAGAAGTGTCCCTGTTTGCAGATGATGTGAAGTCGATGAGAAGAATTCAATCGAACGAGGACCAGGCAGAACTACAAAGGGATCTGGACAGGCTGCAGGCCTAGTCCAGCAACTGGCTCCTGGAGTTCAACCCCGCAAGTGCAAAGTCATGAAGATTGGGGAAGGGCAAAGAAGACTGCAGACAGAGTACAGTCTAGGGGGTCAAAGACTACAAACCTCACTCAAAGAAAAGGATATTGGGGTGAGTATAACACTGGGCACATCTCCTGAGGCGCACATCAACCAAATAATTGCTGCAGCACACTGGGGCCTAGCAAACCTAAGAACAGCATTCTGATATCTTAACCCTTTCAGGGTCCAGAACCCTGATCTGAAACTTGTCCACAGCATCCAAGAATTTAAAAAAAAAAAAATCTTATTTTTTCTTATGAGATGGTAGAGAAGCTTTTTCTGAAGGTAATAAAACAAAAAGTATGAAATTTGATGGAAAATTTATGAAATTACGCTCTCGCAAATTTTGCTGCTTCAGCGATATGAATGCAGTGGCGATTTTGCCCAATATGACTTCCATTTTAGGCCAACTACATTATTCCAGTCGACCAAATTCTTAACTACTTCACTAGTATTACTTCTGTTTTATTGATTTAGCACAAGAAATTGCCCAATCAACTAGGACAACTACCCAATAAAGTTATCAGAAATTTGTAATTTGGCCAATTTCACAACAGTTTCGAATATTCCATTTTTAAAAATTAAGGTCCAAAATTTAAAAAATTGCGGGCATTCCTGGACTAAAAAAAACTTTTCTTCTGTTTATTAGTTACATTTCCAATTTAAAAATAAATTTAAAATTTTTTAATTTTTTATTCACAAAAATGAATTTTTTTTTTCACCAAAAAATAAAAGATTTACTTTTATTAGTTACTTTTCCCAAGCTTTAAAATAAATTTAAATTTTTTTTTTTTTATTTCCATAATGAAATTTTTAAACCCCCAAAAAATAAAAAGTTTTACTGTTATGGAAATTGTAAAAATTTGTATGAAAAATATCAGTGCTTTTCCATGAATGCATTTAGATTTCACCAGCTGCCGGGGGGGGGAAACCCGTGATGTCTTTTTTTTATTTTTGAACCCCAAGAAAAAATCAAACCCTTTTTCTGTTACTTTGAGCTAAATTTTTAAACCCCTTTTTTCGTATAAAAAACCAATAAAAATCATCTCTTTTTCGTAAAAATTTTTCCATTCTATCGAAAAAAGGGCCCCAGAAACCACAAAAAACAAGGGTAAAAACTCACAAAAATTTTTACTGCAAATTCGCTGTTTTAACCCAAAAACCCCCCATTGTTGAGATTTTTTTCTTTGCATGTTGTGGGATTTGTTTAAAATGGTCCCACTTACCCTTTAGTTTGCATTCTTCTTATCTGGGCCCCAAAATTTTTACTGTCACAGCTTCCCTGAGGAGGGGTTTTTATGGATTTAAGAACTACGGTTTGGACCCAGGCTTAAAAAGCCGGGGGAACTCCGAACGGGTCCCTAAAAAGGTTAATAAGGAATCGTTCAGGGCCGTAAAACCCATGTACGTTAGGCCTATTTTGGGGAGCATGCAGCCCCTTTTTGGAAAACCTAACCTCCCCAAAGCACGTAAGGACTCCAGAGAAAAACATTGAAGGTTTCCCAAAAAAAACTATTTTCTGGGGGCTAAGGGGCGGGGAAAAATCGCCCTAAAGAACTGGAGGATAGGAGAGATAGGGGAGTATAAAAACAACATATAAAATATGAGGGGAATTTGACAAGGGGGAAAAAGAGACAGGGTGTTCTGGGATGGGAAACAGAAACCCAGGGGTAAAGTTGGGAAGCTGAAGACCCCGATGTTTTCACAGGGAAATGTTAGGAAGTATTTCTTCCACCGGCTGTCGGGAAAGGGTGGAATAGTCGGGGAAGGGGAAGGGTAGTGGGGGGCAGGATCAGTACATGCTTTAAAAAAGGGGTATGAAAATGATGAGTTTGGGGGAAAGTGATCAAAAATCCTCTTTTCTAATATATCTTTTGGAAATTCCCCTAATAATGGCAATCAAGTCTCCCCCCCGGGACTTTCGCTTGGCTGATTTCATGGGGACTAAAAAATTACTTAGGTGGGTTTTTAAAATTGGAATGCCCGGGACTAAGGGTCGGTAGGGGGCCCAAGGGTTTTCGAATGTTTGCTTTCCAGGGAAATAGTTCTAGCTGCTCAGTCAAATTATTTTTCCCATATATAGATCAAAAAAAAAGGGATCCAATTTGGGATGAAAAATAAAATTAAAATATCTGACTGGTAAAAAGGGGCCCTATATAGGAAAAAATCAAAAGAGGAGGGGGGGGGGAAATTAAGAAATCAATATATTCATTTAAAAAGAGGAAAAAAAAAGGGAATTAGAAAAGAAAAACAAAGATTATGGGGTTTAAAGTTGCAAGAGAATCAAAGGGACAAAACCCAAAAAGGATTCTTTAAAGGTATACAGAAGTAAGATCGGGGAAACCAAGTTTGGCCCACCAAAATTTCCCTTTGGGGGTCAGCTCACTGACAGTGAAAAGGAAATGTGTGAATTTTTAACACATACTTCCTCTCATTTTTTAAAACAGGAAGTTCCCAAGCGATATTCCAAAAATTTGTTTAAATTTTATGTGGGGAACGGACGATAATAAAACTGTGCAGGGATTAGGGTCAAGGGACAGGGTTTCCTTAGGCAAATAGAAAAATTTAAAAAACCAAACCCAAACCCCGGCCCTGATAAAACTGTATGCAAGGGTTCTAAAGGAAAAAAAAGAGGAGCTTGGGAAAACCTTTGGCAAATCTTTTAACTTTACCCACTAAAAAAAATCCCATGGTGCCAGTGAGGGGGAAAATTTGGAAAAATGTGATACCTATTTTTAAAGCAGGGGGAAGGCCCTTTAGCTTTAAATTTTGGGCCCAAATTTCGCCAAACCCTCTTAGTGGGAAAATTTAGGGAAATTCTTTTAATTGCCCAAGGCATTTCGTAGCCACCTTAAAAAAACATAAATTTTTCAACGGAATCTCAGCAGGGTTTTAGGGGAATTTATTAAATTTTTTTCCAAAGGTATTTGAGGAGGTGATATGGTAATAAATATGTTTTGGTGTATTGGACTTCAGAAAGGTTTTTGGGACGGGGGTCCCACATCAGGATATTGGGGGAAAATTTTAAAGGGAAAAGGGAATAGGAGGAAAAATTTTTTCCTGGTTTAGAGGCAGGGGTTGAAAATAGGCAGAGGAGTTGGAAATAAATGGGGGGGGGAATCAGAGGGGAAAAAGGGCTCACGTGGGTTGTTCCACGGGGGGTCAGTTTTGGGGCCCCCCCTGTGTTAAAAAACCCTACATAAACGACAAAAAAATGAGGGAATAAAGTGGGAACGGAAAGTTTGCCGATGACCCCAAAAATAGGCCGTGGGAAATTCATTCTGAGGGGGGACATTCTACCCACTCCAGGGAAGATTTGATAGACTGATGCAGTGG